CGTAAGAGTCGCTCGAGGCGATAGCCGAGAGCGACTCTAGCTTCTTGAGTGCTTAGCAAACCTCCCAAGTGCATCCATAACTCAATAGTGTACGCTGTGGTGTTTACCATTTGTTTTATAACATAACATTGATACATTGTAGCAAAAGAGTTCCCTTTCATTTAACAAATCTTACGTGACCAGAAAAAACAAGCGCGCGCGGAAAAATAGTCCTTGCATTTGCTCACGTCAGCAGCGTACACCCATGGGCAAATGGGGACACTAAATTGACCAATCAGAGCGCGCGCTTTACTTTGGTTATGTTATAATTGAGTATCGGATCAACTAATAATCTCCCCAGTTGATACTTTTCTTTATTCCCATCACTTGTCTGTTTGATACTACGTCGATATTGTGAGGAGAAATTCTGTCTTGATCACTCATACAGGGTTTGAACTTAGCGGTGCTCGCTCCACACGAGTGGTACAAACGACTGCGCTCAAATTTACTTATAAACGCTTCGACTCGGTTTGTTAAACGGTGCTTCCTGTGTCAACCTTTTAAAATTCATGTAGCTTTTCCCTTTGACCAAAAGGCAAGAAAATGAACAGATATTTTCAAAAACTTGAAGTTCTGGGTTTTAGAGCGTCTACAGCTGCCTCCGTTCAAACTTTCCATAAGAACCCCTCGGGATACAAATAATGTTATGGCTCTTACCTCGACCTGCTGTAGGCGGCAGAGTAAAATCCTGGGACGGGTCTACATTCACATAAGGTTTTTCTTCCTTCTGCATGTCAAATAACTGTTCTTTCAAGCTTTGAAATGTAGGCCGGTCTTCACATTCACGCGACCAACAGCCGAGCATGATCTGATAGCTACAAATCAACAGAATACGAAAAAATCGTCCGGTTACTTAAAACTTAAACCCAGAAAATTCACATGTATACCTTGTATCCATATGGGAAAAAGAAAGCAGAGCGGATCTGGAAAATATTTTGATGGAGGGGGGTACAGACTTAAACTTGATTCGGAAAACACAGAATAGTTTTGCATTGAAGGGGGGAGACCGAACTCCTAGGTCCTCCCCCTGTACATGGATCCCCCGCTGGTAAGATCCCAGGGGTAACCGTTGATCACGTTGTCTTATTGCCCCCCTTATTGTCCATTGAGAGTAGTCCAAATAAAAAGGCTATCGTTGGTGACATGGACTAAGATTTCAAAAGCCAACATAAGAGTCATGCGAGGAGACATTTGTCAGTCAAATAGTGAATTCTGATTGGCCGATTTTTCTGTGGTGGTAGAAGAATAGGTGTTTCTAAAGTAAAATCTTACATTTCATCTGTGCAATTTGTTGGTTTTTCCATTCTCTCTCCCTCCAAGAGGAATTCTAAAAGGTCTCTGTCGTTTATCGTTGGGTATGGAAAACCACCTAAAAGTACGTGTAAAACCGAAGAAAAAATGGTCAAAAATATTATCTGCCTGCAATAATGCGTGGGAAATTGTCCAATTTCGTCGTAGACAAAATCTGAGTGAGTAAGACACAACTACAACACAGGTACCACATAATCTTAGAGAAAAGCTTACCAAGGGTGCAAATTTCCCATAGTACAATTCCAAAAGCCCATCTGCAAGAAACGAAGGAAGTCATGTTTCATGACAGCGATGGAAAACATTTTGGAATAAAAGCAAGACCGGGTGCTAAAGGTCAAGGTAAGAATAAAGTCGTATTTGATGTCATGTGCTACTTACACATCGCTTGTGGTGGAGTAGATGCGATCACGCATGGCTTCTATCGACAGCCACCTTAAGGGAATTTTGCCGGTGCTTCTCTTGACGTAAATGCCTTCCCTTGACAGACCAAAGTCAGAGATTTTCAGCACTTTGTCGTCTCCAACGAGAATGTTTCTTGCTGCCAAGTCTCGGTGCACTATTTCTCTTCCAGATAGGTACGCCTTCCATAACAACAGAAAGCAAAATTGATTTACTGTCTCAGCGGGATGGTTTCAATCGAAGGAGATACATAGATAACATGCGCAAGTTTGGTCAGCCGCGCATTAAATTTCTTGCGCAAAATTTTAAAGGAAAACATTAAAAACGAGGGTTGTCACGAAAAATATGTGCGAAACAGTTGAAGTGTTCATAGAAATTTTAAAAAGGAAACAAAAAACAAGGGAAAGGAAAACCCGAAAACGAAGCTTATGAAATTACAGGTATCATGTTGATTAGACATTTTGTTTTGAGCCTGACCGAAAAACGTTATACGGTTTTAAAACGCTGTGACTAACCGACTAGTGTGATTGTTTGTAACCCCTTTAAGACAAGTCCTCGTGACTGCCTGGAAGCTGTTATGACGTTTGCACATGCGCAAAATAAAAACAAATCTCCTTACCATTCCATTTGCAATCTGGTAGGCGAAGGACTGGAGATCACCAGAGTCCAATGCACCATCGAGACTCATAGCAGAGGCAGCTTTGGTATCAGAAGCTTCTTTAGAGTCTATTGCTAAAATATATCAATTAAGATTGAGTAATTCAGTGGCAGAAATAATCAACATCATTTAGTTTAACAAGAAAATTGTTTTTGCCTACCCAGCGTTGTTGTTTCTGTGTTGCTTGATGCATCTGCAGGGTCTCTAGCCACATAATGCACCGAAGGGATTTCCGAGGCCCTTCTGACGGTGTTCAGAACAGAGAGGGCCTTTAAGCTCTTCAAGCTTGTTGATCTGTTGAACTTGGGTCTCTCGCTTGAGTCCAGAAATGTTTCGTGTTTTTTCTGAAAGCAGATATTTCATGAACGAATGAAAAAAATTAGTGACTTTTTTTTACCTTTTTCTTGATCAACGTCTCCCCTTCACCCTCTCTTGTTTTAGATTTAAGTTCGAGCAAAACAAAATATTTTTAATGTGGCTGGCTTCAGGAGTTAAGGAGGAGACAGGCATGACGGTAAAAACAATGCATTGGTAATTCAATCAGCATTTTGAATTACAGTAGTGCATGAGTATCTGTGACGATACATTTTAAGAAACTCCAGCGACTGAGATTAAAGATTTATGACGTTTCAGATCAGGAGGCAATAAAAAACACAATTCGAGAGAAGTATAACATTGATGAAAAGAGCTAAAGCGTTCTGATTTGTTTAAGAGTAAAAACGACACTTCGAATGCTAATGTTTCTTTTAGCTGGGAGTAGCCTTTACACGATGTTTATTTATTAAAAGGTTTATTGGTGTTAAATTTTTATGATTTATCTACGAAGTTTAACGAAACTACTTGAGGAGTTTAAAACAAGTTTATTCTTACGATCCAGTTGGCAACTGTGAGTTGTTTACCCTCTGATTTACAGTGTCTTAGAGGCGGACGATGAACATTGCACTTGGATGAATATGGCGTGGTTTCCTGTGGCTGTGATGTTTGATTAAACTCGAGTTGGGAAGCTGCAAACTCTAAAGCCGAGATGGCCTGGAAACGACATTAACAAAATGCCTATTTTACTCTTAGTCTTAAACCTGAGTGTCGCAGTCCAAACAATTAAAGCTGTCAGTGTTGCAATGAAGTTGAGAATAGAAAAGTTAAAAACATTTTATGGTCATAAAATGTTACTATCTTTACCTTGGATTACAGTTGGAAGCCATTTTACAGCAATCTACAGATTCAATCTTTACGTTGAATAGAATTTAGCACGTTAAGTGTTTTGATTCAACTCTCAGTGTATGCGCTTAGACACAGCGACAATATTCACTTTCTATGGTAGAGTGCAATGAGCTACTTTGGATGTCTTTTTTGGTCGAGTACATTAAATAAAAGCTCGCTGGATTTTGTGTTGCCAATACACAGTGGTGCCCAGGACTTACCGTGTCACTAGCTGAAGGCACCAGGGGACGATGAGAGTAGCTGCTCGTACTAGTGGACTCTGAGCCGTTTGGGAGTGTTTGTGACGTGCTTGATTTTTCTTCGTTTTTGAGACCTTTCACATCATCCCCTTGCAACTTTCGATACTGCTGCTCAAACTGAAAAAGGCATTACATTATCAAAAGGGAACCAAGAAGTATTTAACATTAAAACACCAAAAGCTCCAGCTATAACTGGTCTGAACTGTTGTGGTTTAGTCAAGGGAAGTTTCATTCGTTCCTTACAGGAACGAGCTCCAGTTAAAAGGAACACTACGGGGCCGATATCCATCCGCCTTGACCGAGTGGGCTTGGCGAGTAAATTATGGATAATTACATGCGTGTGGCAGATTTCAGTAAACCCCATGAAACTTAGCAAGTCACGGTCATCAAAGAGGAGAATATAAACGCCAATAAATACGAACCATCTTAATCGAGCAGAGATGGTCAGTTGAGGTTATTACATGGCCAAAAGACTAAGTCCGTCTTGCTGACTGTTTATCAACAGCGGACTTGTAGAAAATGCAATTTTTTTATTATTGCAGTACTTTATGCTTTAAGAGTATAACTGAGTAAAGCTCTGGTCACCGTTTTTCTGAGGTCTCTCAGATAATGCAGCAGATCCCCATGTGGAACACATTCAACCACGAGACACAAAGGTGGGTAAAGAGTGCAACATCCTAACATGGTTACTACGTTTTCATGATGACCAATCGTCTTCATAAAATTGATTTCCATCTTGAAATCCTCCACTTCATCTTCGTTGGCTTTGTCTGATGAAGGAATAAAAACAATAAGCGGGTAAGAAGAAAAGAAATAAAAAAAAGGTTAGTTTTCATGTCTTGTTTATGAACTACTTCTTTGAAATAGTAAAGGACTTCCTATTATTTTTTGTTTTTATGAGTTTTGTTCGTTCTCAGTTGAGATGATGCACTAGTATTTTAGCGATCGTGGATTAAATCTCAGCTTTGGTCAAATGATAAGTACATGGCATCGTTTCACGGTTGAATGTATTATATTTTCCTCTGGTCAAAAATAAAACCTCTCTAGTTTGACTTACCGTTAAGTACTTTAACGGCCACCAGACTTGTGTTTTCACTTCCTCCAATGCCATACGCTTCTGCTAAGAAAACTTTTCCAAAGGCTCCTTTACCAAGGACGCGTTTGAGCTCCAACCGGTGAAAACCAAACTCAAATTCGTCTGCCTCACCAGTCTCCACCGCCTCTTGAATACGCTGCTCCACGTAAGCAGGGTTCAATTCCAGTCCTCTCTCGGACTTGGATGGCAAGTTAACAACAAGGTTAAATCTGAAATAATCATCATGTGGTCCATTATAGAGTAATTTGAGATGAATTTCAGTCTAAAAGTAATCATTGGTCATATCTCTTCTTCGCATGTATCTACCAGCTGTATAAATCATTCATTCTGTAGCGATATTCGCACGACCATTTATAAGCCTTACTCTTTCAAGATCTCATCAGAAATTCTCCTTGCTATATTCCCTACAAATCTTATGAAGTTATTTCGAAGAATTTGATATCGGATCAACCAATAATCCCCTGATTGATATTTTTCGTTATTCTCATCACTTGTCTGCTTGATATTCTATTGATATTGTGAGGAGAAATTCTGTCTTGATCACTTGTAGGAGTTAAGTGTTAACCATCAAACGGCGTTGTTTGCCTCTATTCATTTCCTACTCATGTCTACAGAGCAGCGATCCAAACATCCTTGAAAATAATTCTCAGCTCTCCAAACACAAGATGAAAAGAACTGCATCAATACGACAACATCACCTGTCGTTAGCATACGGACTGGACGGAACATCACCAACATTCCTCGGGTAACTGGCCCTGTCATCGAAGTGACGTCTGAAGGGTTTCTTTTGTTTGCGGCAAAACCAGAACACCGCCAGTAATAATCCTGCTACTGCAAACAGGATGATAGGCACTACGATGGCAGCCATTGTCCCTGACGACATCCTATTACCTGCCGCTGTGGATACTGCACGGAGAAAAATACCGCAAACGATATATTGCTCAGTGTAAATGAGATATCGTCACGTGGCAGCGATATCTCGTTGGATGTATTGGGAGGCGGAAACGGATATTGCTGGTTTTCACTGTCACGCTATCATCAAAACCATTCAACAAATAAAATCAAGAATCAAAGTGAAAAAAGGAAATGAATATTCAAATATTCTCGCCAAGATTCAAGTCTGTAGAATGTTTCATGCTATTCGAAGAAATGTTTCACTCAAATTCATAAGGCTTTGTAGGTGTCGGAAAACTATAGTTCCACGCGCGACGCGCGAAAGGATCCGGCGACAACTTCTTGGACACGTCCATGATTTAGAAATTAGGTAACCAGAACGAAGCGATTATGTAACAACCTGTCAACAGTGAATTGCCGAAATCTTGAAATCTTGAAATACGATCGTAGTTATTGTGAGATGTTAGAGCGACAGTGTAAAAGAAAAGGAGCGAACAACGATTGTAAGCGAACGTGTGTTAAGATTGTGAGCGAACAGAAGGAAATAAAGAACGTTATACAGTCCTCAGATTGTGAATGGAAATAATTCGAACAGTATGGAGACGCCATGTTTGTGTCCCTCTAAGGGGCACAAATATGGCTGCCTGAAGCTAACAAAAATGTCATCGAGTTTTACCATAAGAAGCCATTATTCGTCTTCTAAGGGCTCATAAACATCTCTAAGAGTACTTATTCTCCTACAAGGACTGTTCAGATTGTGAAATCTCAGAGGATGAGTCACTTTTTTGACAGCACTCTCGGCCGCCTTGATATCGTGTCGCACAATGCAAAAGCCTAGAAATTCAACCTTTCTCTGTCACAAGACGAAAAACCCTGCCAAACTGAACATGTGTTAACAGATAAGTCTTCAGCTGTTCTACCAAAATCTCAAAAGGACTGATAATTCCTTATTTTTTATTTTGATGACGTCACGTGAAAACCAAGAATATCGTTGAACCGCAGTGATACAGTGGTATTGTTGAACCGCAGTGAGCTGAGCTCAAACGATATATCGTTCAAGGAAAAAAATTATTCGCGAGGCTGTTAAAACAATAGCCTGGCGTTATATCGCTGATATATCATTCCAACTGTAATATCGCTCCAATATGTATAGCCGATATATCGCGATGATCGCGATATTCGGCGTTAATCATTTGCATTACTTTTGTCCAGTACTGTAATCATTGTATCATCAAAGATAATGAAATGAAAATAGTTAAGTAATTGGCTAAATTTTTGCTGTTTTGCGTTGGCGTGAATATGTTCAGTCGAAAGATCGACGCTATGCGATCATGTAACAGAGTTATTTCTGTTCGTTATGAAAGCTTTATCAAGTTTCTAGGTGAGTGGGGAGTAAGTAAGAGTCTGGATTTACAAACAGAAATCAGCAACACAGATAAATTAACCAGTTTTAACAGTTTTATCCTGTAGCTCTTCGATCAATTTCAAGCGAAAGACCATATTTAATCTCTAAGATGCACACATTATGGCACTTGCATAACTCAGCGCCATCAAACTGTTGTAGAAGACTTACCTCTTGTACTCTCAATCGTTGGGGCGGCGCTTGTCGCCGGCTTTGTTGTCGGCACCATCTTCGGTATTATTGGGGCCGTTTTCGGTATAACAGCTGCGCGATAAGAGGGAGAGATTTATTTCAGAAAATTTTGCACGCTTAGCTTGTAGATTATACCCTCAGGCTCTCATTTCTGTTGTCGTGCGATCGAATCTTCAAGAGATCTGCCAACTCGTTTCCCGCAGTGCCAAAGAGCCTGCTGTCAGGCTAACGATACAAAAGCAAACATTGCCTTATTTCTAGAGGTATTTTTTTTCCATGCTTAAGGTCCTACTACAGAATTTTCCCTTTCTGCATCAGGTTTACAGCTGTAGGCTGGTTGAAACAGAAGAGAAGAAGGAAGGAGCAAGACGGCGCAAGAAATACGGAGAAGAGGTTTGGTTATTTATCGCGTGAGGGGGGTGGGGTTTTGAGGATTTTCAAGGAGGAGAATGAAATGGTTTGTAAGGCAGCGGAGGGTGATCAGAGTATAAAGGGTGGATTATAGAAATTGACTGCCAATTGACTACCAATGAGGGGGTCAGAGAATCATAAGAATAGAACAGTGCCTTATGAGGAGGATCTGGCAAATTTTGTCACGACACAACCAAAATCCTCCAGCCTCCCTTCCCTCCTCCTCCCACCCCTCCCCACCCCCCCGAGCGTCATAATAAGCGTTCCTTTGCGGAGTAAACAGACACGCAAACATTTCTTGATGTTTAACATTACCGTGGAAATGTTTCACTGCTACCTTGGAGAACACGCAGCCACTACTGTCAAATGCAGAAACCTAAAAGAAAAACAGTGGAAAAAGTAACAACCATGCATGATTGAGGGTCTCAATGAGATGAATAATAGCTTTTACGCTAAACGGCTAAAAAGTTTGGCTAACAGCAGTGGCAGGTCCAGGCCTTTAGCTGAGGGGGAGGGGGGGAAGGAGGGTGTTTTTGTTTGTGTGTGTTCACCTGATGGCTTTTCTTCCCCCTTCGTTTATTTATTTTTTTTACTCAAAATAAGGGGGGGCGGGCCCCTCGGGCCCCTCTGCTAGATCCAACACAGAACAATTAGTTTCCTTCTGTTTTTCTTCGACAGAAAAATGTTTACAGTTACCTTTTTTTACGACTCACGGTAAAAATTGGTCAATTGGTCAATTCTCACCCCTAACAGGTAATTTTTTGTATCTTTTAACGGCTAACGGTTTACTCTACTGAGACCCTCATGATTGGTGTTGACGCATTAGGGTTTTATTAACAGATTTAAACTAAAAACCAACTTGCAAAACATAATGAATTACACCCCATCAAGTACTGCTCAGAAACTCTCATCTGATTGCACACTCGCCGGGATTTCATTCGTAGACTGAAAAACAGGGGCCGATTAATGGAAGACGCGTGACAAAATAGTAACGCGTGACGAAATAGTAACGCGAAGGTGTAATGGTGATACTTACAAGAGCACGGTATCGAGTCCCGTCGGTCAAATTAGAGTAGGAAAAATTGTAGGTGTTATTCTGAAGAAAAATGAAAATAAAATCCGATACTGATCTCATTTAGTCGTAAATCTCTAATTTTACAATGTCTTTTGTATCTGAGGAACATGATTACGCCACTTGAACACCTGAAACTTAGTCCTTTGGGAATAAATAAAAGGATATTCTATTCAATAACTATAATTACTGTTGAGCTGATATTTCCGTATCTATAACAGAGAAGCCTACTCGAAGACATGAAAAAGAGAATTTTTCATGTTCAGCTTTTCTCAGTTTTAATTACTGACTTACTTTGACCAAACACTATGTGATTCCTCTTTAACGTGTATTATTTTGTTTTAATGTTTGGAAAACGTAATTTAACTTGAAGGGCATCTAATTGGCTCAACAAAATAATTTCCCTCTTCCATTTCTCTCTCAATTGCTATCATTAAAATGGTTTGTAATGGTTGAAATGAAAAGAAAAAATTATTATTACATATGAAAAAATCAAACAAAAAAATTCTGGATTTCGAACGTAGCGTGATATTGCTTAATGAATCCTCGCCAAAGTATGAATTGGTGAATGTACAATATATCAAACAATGGTTTTGTTTTGCTACAGTAACTTATTATCTTACCACTCCTTTTAAATCTGCAACAACAACGTCTCTGTGTTTTCCTGTTATTAGAGGGCAGATATTCTCACACTTTGACAAATCGATCCTAAAAGAAGTAGAAGGTAATATTGTAAATAATTAACAACTATTCACCGAAGTTAAGGTGGCCGTTTTTTTGGTGGTGGATATTTACCTCGCCGCTTCGCGGCTCGGTAAATATCCACCGCTAACCACCGACATCGAGGTGAATAGTTATTTTATTATATACTAAAACAGTGAGATAGTATACACAACCAAAAATTGATTTGAGTGATTTCTTCGCTTTTCACGGATGCAAACCGGGACGCCATTTTTTCCTGAATTGCTCGGAGGTAAATAGCAAAGGATATTCGGAGTTTGACTAGCCAATCAGAACGCGCCTTCAACGCTATCCTCTGTTTTAGTATATACTTAAAACAAAGATACAATTGCCAATTATTCACAGTAAGAACTTACAATTTGTGGGGGTATTTCGTTACGGTAAGTGACGGTATTTTTTTTCTCCTGTTTTTAGTCAATTGAAACGATTTCACGGCAAAATCGAAACCTTGTGTAAAAATGTTTTTTTTTTCCAAGTCTAAAATAGTTCGAGTAAACTTCACTTCAGAGAATTCCATTCTCTTGCTCGTATTGAACGCTTATCATCTAAGAGAGCACTAATTGATTGCATGGGTCGTTGAAAAATATTATTGGTGCGATGGCATATTTCTGATTACCGTTGGTGCGATGGCATATTTCTGATTACCTGCCTTTCTCAACATGGAGAAAAAAAAACTCATTAATTACCCAACGTTTGGTTGTCACAACAACGCCATTGTCGAGAAAACTACAGGGAAACTGTTGCGCTTAAATACAGAGCTGTTGTAATCGTTTACACTTATTATGCTTGTTCATTTATCTCGGCAAACTGTCGTAACTGAGAAAAAAGATATTTGCTATACTGTATAAATGCTTTCGGTCTTTCAAATGGGATTGGTAATGCTGTAAAGTTAAGCCGACTTACTTGAAATATGCAGGTTTCTTATCCCAGTCTTCAGTGCTCCAAGTCACATGAGCTGTTGTTTTGTTAATGTATAGTTTGTCTTCGAGAAATTCGACACGAATGTGATCTGATTCTTTAGGTTTGGCGGGGAAGGTTTCTAGTAATTCAAAACCATTGATTAACTTTTAAAACACACAGCATTCGGTAAGGGGCCGACCATTTAACTTTTGAGGGAGGGGGTGATCTCTGGTCATCAAGAATTTTTTTTTTTCTAGCAATCTACCGTGCAGGATATTTTTTTCCGATTTTATGGTACATTTTTCTGTTACATTTGGGCTGCATGCAATTTTTTTCTTCCAACAAGCGCTTGAAGGAAATTTTTTTTTCAAAATAACTCACCGCCCCTCAAAAGTTAAATGGTCAGCCCCTGAGCTATTGCAACTTAAGTTCATCAACATCTCCTGTATCAATGCCCTTGTCCGGCGTGGAAAGAGTTCGTTTGTAAAAATTGTGGTTATTTACCGCGGTGGATGCAATAATGATATAGAAATATAGATTATGATGATGACACTTTCGAAGTAGATCGCGAAATTTGGACAGCGTGCGGCGAATGTTCCTCAGATAATGAGGTTGGTTAGTTACGCTTCACCAAGGCACTGTGCTCAGCTCTGATTGGTTGTTTGCATGCCCTTATTTAGACAGAAGCTCCGGCAAAGTTTGAAATCACTGAAGAAGTTATGTGTAATTACATGAGCGAGGTGGAAAATGAAGAATTACTGAAGTATACTAGCAGGATACGGATTGTCATGGATATTTGTATTTATGATCCATCAAATATGTTTTCTCGTGCACGATTGGTTTAATCGCATAACGTGACCGAATATTCCCTGGCTAAAACTGGGAGATATCCGAGGATAGCGATATCACCAAATTTTCAAACCTTACGTCCACTGCGATAACTCTTCGTTTAAACTTTGATTCAAGATGAAAAATCCTTCTATGGTTGTTACAGAAGAAGGGAAATATTTGGTTGTTCATAAAGTCGTACCAGAGAACACTCAAAAGACAACATTCCACGCAGCAAAGAGTGAGCTGTTCGTAAACATTTTTTTAGGCGCGTTGCAAAATATTTGAAGGATAATAGACGCAAAAGCCTCTATTTAGCGCGCCCTCAAAGCTCACATTTTTTCTCGAGCTTTTGCTCTTGGGAAACTGTTCGCATCAGTTGGAACAGGTAATATCCGCCGACAAATATCCATGCATATTTTCGCGCCAAATAGAGGCTATTGTGATTTATGCTATTGTTTCATTCTAAATATCCGGAATTCGATATACATATATACTGAATAATACTTACTTTCGCAAAAACAAAACCCATGAATACAGTCTGTAAAGAAATACAGTCGAGAACGTTGAGTTAAAGCATTTGAGATTAAGTTTAATCAGTAGTTTTCTTCAATCAACACCAGTCTTTCAAGAGACCAATTTATCAGGCAAACAGAGACAAACGCGAGGCCTTCGCGCTTTTCTGCGCTTCCCTGATAAACGAGAAGAAAAACAACCTCGCATGTTCTTTAAGTTAAACCGTCGAAAGAAAGGGAAACGAAGGTGGGATGAACTCAGACAGTTTCTCTGACGTGGTAAAAAGACTATCCTACACTAGTTGAGTTCAATCAAAATTTACTAGTAAATCAAAACAGTTCCGACTGTTGCTAATTCGTTTGGAGTTGTTTTTTCACTGAAAAGAAAACTTGAAAGCACGCATACCTGGAATGTCAAACGTTGCCTTCGTTTCATAAACAAGTTTAACTTGGGAACGTATCTGTGAACCAAAGACAAAGCACATGTATCATGCAGGGCAACTGAATAAGAATTCGTTAGCGATTTCACTAAGAAAATCACTGTATTGTAAACTTTTTAAAGTTTGATGCTTTACAGTAAAAAAGTGTACAACAAAATTACTAACCTTAAAATCATAACTGCATCCAAAATAAAACTGTTTGTCTGATGGAAACTTCAGTTCATCAGTTGTAACGTTCTGGCGAAGAGATACAAATTCCCTACTTATTTCTTAATCGTATCATAGAATTCAGCATGAGTAACACTTATGATTAAAGCTGTTCATTTTCTAAAATTTCTCCTCTAAAATTACAAGGTTTGTTTTCTCAAATACCGTGCAAGATTAGTACAACGAAAGATAAATCTACAAAAACTACCTCAGCCTACCATGCAAAGACTAAACTAACAAAACTAACTTCTACCATTAATGCTTAGAGAGACCTCAATTCTGTTAACCTTAGTTAAATTAGGAACTTATTCTCTCAATTCATTTGAAGAATTTCCTCTAGTCGCCATAGCGATTAATAAAGCTAGCAGTACTGTATGAGGAGCTGATTTAAAGGAGACTCTCAGTGAGATTTAATATGACAAAAGGTATCATGAAATATCTTATATTTGCGTCTTGTTTGACCAAGGTTCTCATTATTTATACATTAGCTTAGCGGTTAATATAATTACCGGAAGAGGAAGCGGGTAGTGACTGTGAGAAAGAAGACCATTAACGTAACAATGCTGGCGAGGGCTTCGTGATAAATCGACTTCAACCTCTAGTTCCCCTTCGAACATAACGTCGTGAAGGGCTGAAAAGAAGCGAGAAGAGATGTGACCTAACATCCCAATAGTCGAGCTAGGATAAATAGCCCTTTGTCAATGTCAAAGGAGCCTGAGTTCTCACACTTAAATAGCCTGCAGTGCCGGCGTATTTTGGGCGCACGAGTGCACATTTTCGTATTAGGCCGCCATCTTAGATTTGGTAACTGTGGAGGATTGGGGCGAGGAAATATTTGCCGAGGGAGTAGGTGTTAACTCCCTCGGCAAATATTTCCTCGCCCCAATCCTCCTCAGTTACCAAATCTAAGATGGCGGCCTAATACGAAAATGTGCACTCGTGCGCCCAAAATACGCCGGCACTGCAGGCTAACGCTTAAAGAGTTGATAAAAATGGTAAATTGACTGAACGACTGAATCGATCAGCGACACCCAAACAACAACAATAAAAGAAGCAACAACGACAACCAAACAAGAAACGGCAGTGGTACGTGGTACGACATGATGTGGACGAAAAAAGAACATCAACAATGTATTATGATGTAACTCGACAAAACATGTCATGCTATAAGCTATATAACCCTTCATAACGTCAACGTGAAATATCAAAACTTGCTCTGCGGTAAATAAATGTTTTCAGTTATTTGTTTGAACCTACCACGTGGAAGCTCCCAGTACAAAGTAGTGAACAATTTCGGTCTTTCAAATGGGATTGGTAATGCTGTAAAGTTAAGCCGAACGTTGAACATCCTACACGGGAATTCACCCATAGATAATGGATGCTCCAGTCTTGTACAGGAACCTGGGTGGACAATCAACAGCAATAAAATTCGTTATAAAATGCATTAATACATTACATAGTACATTAAGAAACAGCTCAACGTGTTTTCAAGAGCCGTTGAGGCCACCACTTTTTATTTGTTAGACAATTGCATTCCATCAATACTCACGAACTTTTCGAAAAAAAAAGATTCTACCATACTGTGCCAGCCTCACTGTAAATAATAGCAATCACTTGAGCTAAGTAAAAGTTAAAAAAACGTGGGAAACAAACCATCGATCTACCATCACCGATATAATGCAATAATTTATCTATCTATTTCTATCATTTTTTGTCGCATACGACTCACTCTCGTGAACAGCTCCAAGGTTTTCTTTTTGCTTTCAGGGCTTTATAAATCTGAAGTATTGACTAAGATTTAAGATTTTCAAACTTACTATTTGTTTGGTACAGAGGACTTGAATCCGAGAAATCGGATGTTGCCTGGAACGAAACTACTGCTAAACGGAACGAGAAGTTAGCTGTTTTTGTAATAAATTCTTCGGGGATGGTAAAAGTTGTATTGGTCGTCTGCAAGATAATTTAGGATTAATAAACATGATTTCGAGAGCAATTTTAAAGAATGAAACTTTATACATCCTTATTTATCTCAACATGTATTCGAAATCAAAAGATTACCTTTATTCATTCTATTATACACCAAAATGCGTAGCTGCTTACCGTATGATATATCTGTAAGTGTGGTAAAATAATGAATGGGTCAGTGATGTTTGTATGACGTGTGACCTCCAGGACGTATACCACAGGTGTGGCATTGTACTTGGTGTGACTGTAGCTTCCCCAGTCGAATGTGAAAGTAAAGTAGCCTGACGACAGCAAAATGGGAGCATCTGGAACTGGTGGTACTGCTGGAATGTTGCTTGCTTGAAAAGAGTACGGTGATAAAAATTTTTAGAAATATGAACTGACTAGTCGTTTTAGGTACGAAATGACTCAAATTTGTGTACGAACCGACTAGATGGATCACAAGATTTTGAGTTTTCAAAACCTTTCATGACTATATTTCTGTTTTGTTCAATATTCAGAAAAATGTTAGACAGCTTTCATAAAAAAAAAAAATAGTTTTGAATCACCGCTATTGAGGACAAACTGTGCTGGAGATATATTATGCTAGAAATGCAGTTTTCTTGACGGCGTTATTGTTAATATGCCGGCTTCTTAATTAAAAAAATCCTGAAGTTTTAAGGCGTACCAGTTAGATAAAAAAAAAGTTAATTCTAAATGTTTCAATTTTGTATTTACTTTGTTTGTAGGGAAGATCAATATTATTTTATATCTCGTTGTAGCGACAAGTTTTATTTGGACATCTACTGGGGAGCTATTTGGTTTCACTCATCTGACATTGAAATTATCGAAGAAAGAATAATAATTCACACTTACCCTGGGAATAATTTCCCGGAATCAATTGGGTGCAAGTTCTATTGCAAAGTTGCTTGTCTGGAACCTTCAAAGAAAGAATTTAAAAAATGATTTAACTAAGCTCCTGTTTAGAGCTGAAATGATCACCTAAAAAATTCTTGTGAGCCGCAAAATTTTCACAATAAAACCTGTTTTCCAAAATCAGACATGCATTGGAGCTTTCACTGTCATGGTGTCCGCTGATGATATGAACCACGCTGTACCTTCAAACTTCTTCTTAAGTCGGAATTGTCAGGTTTTCACATAAAATACGAAAACACTAATAAAAAAAATATTACAACTTTGTAACAAGTTTCGGGACTCTACAAATAAAATGGTGAATGAAACTGTCAAAAAAATTTAAATATCAAATCTTTGCGACAGGCAAAAGTGATTTATCATTTTATCCTTTATCCTCTATATCAAAAGAAGGTCAACAGAATTTAAGAAAAGTTTCAGTTTTTGTTTTAATGGTGTCCGGAGCTAGGAAATAAGTTTTCTTCGTTCCTTCGTCATTTTTCCAGTTAAGAAAAATTTTAACGAGCGGCCAGATACGTTTATTGCTGTCTTTTGTTATAACTAGCTTCTATTTCCTAATGTCACGGTTGTTGGGCATGATTAAGATTCTTTTCTTATTAACGCTAGCTCACCATCTGTTCGTTAAGTTTCTAGGAAAATGATGATTGAGGGAAGTTAAGTTTTTTCTCGTCAAGAGCTAGAAGTAGCAAATGAACCATATTATTCTGTACATGTAGTTTCAATTATTGCTCACTATGTTCTGTTTGTTTTGTTGAATTTGTCTAATTCATGATTCACAATTATGGCATATCAGAACGAGTTTTTCGTTACTTGTATTGCCCACAAGTTCTCAAACCTCTGACTTAAAATCGGGCAACAATTGTATGTAACGTTTCCGCTATAAATAGATATCGATTCCTTAGTTCCTCTTAGTTTGTATCCTGAGTCACGTTCACAGACAAACGTGATAAAATGTGCTTATTCCTGTAGCTCTAAAACACTTTATAAAGCTGATTATTCCCAATCATGGTCCGCCAAGTCATATAGAGTTCTGGAAATATCAAAAGATTATCACTGAGATTAAACACTGTCATTCCTTAATAACAATAATGCCGGTTGATTCACTAAATATTCGACTTGCTCATCAAAAATTTACCATTTCCTGATGAAATATGAACACAATGGACATTCACCGAATATTCGAGAATAGTTCTTACCTTTGAAACACAGTTCTCACAACATTCCGCTATTCTTGAGCTTTCGCAAGAACCAAAGTTACACCAACAAGTGGTAAAGAGAAACAGTATCATGCAATTCACGGCTGACATCGCTTCTCTGTATAAGACGAAAACATAATAAGATTGTCACGAAACAAAAGCGTGAGATTTTGACGTAGTTTTAACATTATTTACCCAACTCGAGTGGATGGTTGAAGGGCCGGAGCGTATCGGCCATTCGTAAAACTAACACTCAGCCGTAATATTTATGAATCCCTCAACAGCTTGCTATCCTATACAATGAATAATATTTCTCCGACATGATGTTAAGTACTCTTATACCTGAAAAGTGGTGGATAACAAATGCATCCGGTATATTGAGTTTCGACCTGACTTGGCAACCCACAGATGCGTCACAAAATCTGCAAATTCACGTTCTTCTCTAAAAAATTTCTTCAATCTTTTCCCACTCTCTTGATAGTGCGAAGGTTATTTTGTTCTGTTGTAATTAGCATTAACATGCGAGTCACGCTCTAATCAGTACAAAATGAACCGCAAATTGAAAATAAACTCTTGTTTATATGCAATGTAACGTTCCATTGAATCCCAGGAATTTTCGTGCTTCCTAACAATTTTTTTCCCAGCCCTCCTCCCCCCTCCCCCTCATACCCGCTCTGGGCTAAAAAAAATCCGTTAAACTTAGCCAATCGGAGAGAAGCCATCGAAGAAACGAGTAATTTTCGTGTACTTTCCTTGAAACAAGTAGATACATTTACATCAAAACTAAACACGAAATCTAATCTTAGCTTTTCTGCGGTGAGCTAGAGTGAGTGTACCAAAGTTAGAATATCGATGTCATTAATGATATGACTCGTGCATGTATTGCAATATTAAGTATTGTTCGACAAAAATTGCTATTAACGAGATAAATTATCAAAAGCTCGACGGCGACAACGGTTTAAACATTGAAGAAAATTGTTAAACAAAGGCGCCTGATAGCTGATAAATGTTTCGAAACTTCTTTTAAGGCGACTACCTTAAAGAAAAAATTAAATAAAGGAAAAGATCCCCTTCTAGTTCACATTTAAAGACTGTTTAAGAAGAGTATATTCTCGCATATGTAAACGTGAAAAAGTTCAACACAAGTTGAACGAAAAATCTGATGTCTGATTTCTTAATTGCGCGAGCGGAGGTGACAAGGTAATTATATTCATTTGACAGACTTTGTAAAGTTTTCGTCGAATTGGTGGCTCTATGGAATTAATTTTGACAAGTTATCTTACACAGTGCAATGAGAGACTAGTCTGGATATGCATCATTACGATTTGGCTACGCTGATCTCTCTTAGATTCGTCTTGATGCAGCTTTTTTACATGTGTGGTTGTCTACTTAAACAAAGGTTTACATATGTGAATCTTTGTTTAAGCAGACGACCGGAACACTCTGGTAATATTAGATAAAACACTATGTTAGGAATATCAGTCGGTGACACCTTATTCTGAATTCGCCATCGTAACTTTACTGTGGAAGAAACACAATTAAACCAATTTATAGGACTGTTAACTTTGGCAGTTATTATAGCTTCTAAAAACAATATAAATATCGTTTATCAAAACTACCGCCATACACTCATTAAATATCCCAAAGATATGCCAGGGCTTACCCAACTGAAATGTTCTCCCGAAAAGATTTGGTGTTTGTAACCCCAGTGGAGTTCGTTCGCTCTCTTACATCTGTCTTATATTTTGAAGATATCAGACCTTTTTTAGAAAATATTCGAGTGCTGTGATTGACACGTCTCCTACGTCATAGAATGAACCTGCGCTTAGTGTTCAACAGTTTTAAAACTGTTAGCAAAGGAAAATGCATTTTTTTTGTACCGGATCCTCAAACAAAACTTCTTCTAAAGAAAGAGGCCGTTGTAGGTCCAGGGAGACAGATCACACATTTCTTTCCCACGAAATTAAAGATTCAACGCTGAGTGATTTTATGCGGTCTATTGAAGATATATATAATTTAAAGTAAACAATTGTCTGTCATACTGAGTGCCGTTTTACTTTGTAATATAGCATATTTATGTCATTGTTACCTTTAAATCATTTAGGTAACAAGCGAATTATTATAATTGAGTATTTCAATTAGAAGCATGCTCTAAAGAACCAACTTACTAGTGGTAAACATGCAATAAGCGCCTTCTGCTCTCTGTTTCACTGATTCCACAAGGGAAATAAGGATTTAAAAGGAGAATTATACGTGTGTGCGTGAGCAAAATTTTGGATCCCTCTTGATTTTGTGAGGAACTTTGTGGAGGCGCGGTGGCCTCATGTTTAGTGCGCTCGACTCCGGATCGAGTGGTCCGGGTTCGAGCCCCGGCCGGGACATTGTGTTGTCTTCTTAGGCAAGACACGTTACTCTCACAGTGCCTCTCTTCACCCAGGTGTATAAATGTGTACCGGCAATTTAATGCTGGGGGTAACCCTGCGATGGACTGGCATCCCATCCAAGGGTGAGTAGAAATACTCCCAGTCGCTTCATGCTACAGAAACCGGAGCTAAGCGACACCGCGGAAATACGTTTTTTAAGGCACGATACAGTATTTTATTGGTCAGCAGACACCTCGACGAAACCATAAAATGCCGTTAACTTTTACAATGTTTTCGCCGTGAGTCAAATCGACAGCGTAAAAAGGCAAAACTTAGAAAAAATACTGTAAACTTAGAACCTAGCTTTGAAACTCCGTTCACCTTTTGGATAGTTCTCAAGCTCAATTATATAATTTGCCAAAGCTGAACTGAAGTTGCACACGACATGAAATTGTTGTTTTTCGCTGGCGGCTCCGTGGCACGTAAGTTTTGTTTATAGAAGAGCATAAGCATTAAGACTAAAAATG